TAAAAAAAAAAAAAAAAAAAAAAAAAAAGACTACAAGACGACTACAAATGGCCAGTACATATATGAAAAGGTGCTGGGTCATCAAGACAGTGTGAATTTCCACATTGGGCCCCTTCCAAACACCCCCTGGAGGCATAGAATTAAAAGTGTGGGCCTGTGGAGGAACTGCTCTAGGAAGCTATTTGGCAACAGCTACCCAAATGGAAACTTCACCTGACCTAAGACCCAGAAATCCGTAGACCTAGAAATGGACCCTGGGAGGATTAGTGTATAGTTCTTCCAAGTACATGCATACGAATATTCCTGCTGGGTGTGGTGGTGCAGAAGGATCGCTGGAAGTTCAAGGCCAGCCTGAACTACATACCAAAACCCTGTCTCAACAAAATAAAAAATATTCCTAACAGCATTATTTATAATGAAAATATACATACCCATCAAAAGAACAAATTGGAACTGGGGATTTAGCTCAGTGATTCCACCACCTGCCTCATAAGCATAAGGTCCTGAGATCAATCCCTGGTACCAAAAAAAATAAATTGGAGCCAGGTATGGTGGCACAGCACTGGAGGAGAGGCTGAGTCATGAGGTTTGCTTGGAGTTCAAGGCCAGCCTGGGCTACACAGTGAGACCCTATCTCAAAAAAAAAAAAAAATCGCAATGTAGTCGTAGTGTGGAATAATACTCTGCAATAACAAAGAATAAATTGCATGATGGAAGAATGTCACAGAATACTGAATGGAGCCAGGCACCGTGGATGTGTGTACAACTCCACATACCCCAGGCTGAAGTGGGAGGCTGTGAGTCCAGAAGTTTGAGAGTAATATAGAGAAATCCTGTTTTAAAAGGAGGCTGGTCGGAAGTGGTGGTGCATGCCTGTAATCCCAGCATTTGGGAGGCTGAGGCAGGAGGATCACTGTGAGTTCAAGACCAGCCTGGGCTACATAGTGAGTTCCAGGTCAGTCTCAACTATGTAGTGGGACCCTGTCTCAAAAAGAACAAAAACAAAAAAAAGGAGGCTGGCATGGTTGTATATGCCTGTAATGCCAACCCTCAGAAGACTTAAGGCGGGATTGCAGTGAGTTAGTTCAAGGCCAGCCTGGGCTATATAGTGAGTTCAAGTTCAGCCTGAAGTAGCCAGGTGTGGTGGCGCGTGCCTGTAATCCCAGCACTCGGGAGGCTGAGGCAAAAGGATTGCTGTGAGTTTGAGACCAGCCTGGGCTACATAGTGAGTTCCAGGTCAGTCTCAACTACGTAGTGAGACCCTGTCTCAAAAAAAAAACCAAGTTCAGCCTGAACTGTCTGGTGAGACTCAAAAAACTAAAAGAAGAAAATTAAAGGAAATTCAATGAAAAAGCTGGACATGGGCTGAGGATTTAGCTCAGTGGCACCACATCTGACACCCAAGCACAAGGTTCCAAGTTCAATCTCCAGTACCAAAGAAAAGCTGGACATGGTGGAACACACCTGTAATCCCAGCTACTCAGGAGGCTGAGTCAGGAGTGTCTTAAAGTCAAGGCAAACCTGGGGAATTTAGCAAGACTGTCTCAAAGTAAAACTTTTAAAGGGCTGGAGCTGTAGCTCAGAGGTGGAGCACTTGCCTAGCATGCACAAGGCCTGGTTTCAAACCCCAGAAATGACGAATAAAAGGAAAGTGACGTGGCACACATGGTGTCTTAGCACCACTGTCCCACAGGGCCCAGATTCTGTGACTGAGGGGTGAGGCAGGAGGGTGGCAGCTGTCACAGCCAATGCTCTGCCTGGGGAAGGACGGCTTCTCCATGGGAGCGCCCAGTGACTCATGACAACAGTCCCACTCATGGGGCCAGGCTCCTGTCCTTCCTGGAGTCACATGAAAATGAGTAGGGCGAGTGAGAAGGACCGGAAACCCCTTCCACAGAGGCGTGGGCACACACTCACACATGGGCCTGAGTGCTCCCTATATATCCACAGCCTCCCTGGCTTCCACAAAGTTGGAGAGAAAACCTTCAGGTCGGCCCTGCAGGTGGCCCTGCTTCGAAGAGCTGCCCAGCCTCTTTCCTTTTCTGACTGGCTGCCCTGTGCAGGTAAGCAGAGGCGAAAGGGCCCTGGGAGGTGATAGCCAGGGAACAGCGGGGCCCAGAAGTTAAGAGCATAAAGGGGCCACATGCCTGTCCTCCCAGAACCCCAGGAGGCTGAGGCAGGAGCATGGCAAATTCAAGCTTAGGAACCTGGGCAATTCAGAGAGACCCTGTCTCAAAAAAAAAAAAAAAAAAAAAAGTGGGGAAGTAGCTCAGTGCAAAGGCCCTGGATTCATTACCCATGACCACACACACACACAAAAGAAGAGTGTCACGAGCCTTAAGGGGAAATAGACATTTAAATTAATTGCAAAGTGGAAACAGCAGCTGTGTTTTGTCTCTGTGTACAGGAAGCTTAGTTCTCAGGACAGTGTTGGCTTAAGAGGGGGGATCCTGTGGGGGCTGGGAAGGGATTCTGGTCTCCCAGCCGGGATGCAGCTCAATGGCAGAGGGCCTGCTTAGCATGCATGAGGACGCCAGCACCATCGTGTATGCGTATACACACACACACACACACACACACACACACACACACACACAGAGTCTCCCTGGCCTCCCGTCTCGCCACACAATCCCTTCTGTGTGCTCTCAGCCCCCTTTCTTTCTCTGAGGCCATGCACCCTGCAGCCACCAGCACCATGGACCCAGTCACCCTCTTGCTCGTAAATGCTGCCATCTTACAGCAACACAAAGGGGCCTGATAGTGGTCACTTCCTGGGGATGTCCTGGCTCAGGCTTTTTTCAGATACACAAGAACAATTATCACTAGTTCTTAATTTAATTCATAGTTTTTTAAAGCTAGACAAGGCAGCCCATGCCTATCATGAGGCAGGAGGATCACAAGTTCAAGGCCAGCTTGGACAAGAAGAGAGACCCCACCTCAAAATAAAGAGCAAAAAGGGTGATGTCTCTCAGTGGCTCAGCACCCGTCACTTTGATGCTTTGATTTCCGGTACCAAAAAAAAAAAAAAATGCTTTTCATATTATCAGTGAAGATAGAAAAGGAGAACAGAGTAAAAGAAAAGGAGCAGAGATCTTTTCTAATTTATCTAGACATATCTTCAGGTTTAATAAATTTTTATATAATTAATATGCAATAAAATTCACACATTTTAAGTGGAAAGTTTGATGAATTTGTCAACACACTGTTATTTACTCACCGCGAGAATCTGGATACAGAATATTTCTGTCACCTCAGAAGCTGCCCTTATGCTTCTGTGAGCCCTGTCCTATCCCAAGCTGGTGGCAACCACAGATCTGCCGTCACCAGCCTTTTCCGGGATTTCACACAGAATCCTATGGGAGAAGTCTTTTGTATCTGGCTTTTGTCACTTAATATAATGCTTCAGAGATTTATCTATGCTGTTATGTGTCAGTAGTTTATTCACTTCTGTTGCCTTGTCATAGCACTTATTGTATGGGTAGAATTCAATTTTATTTATTCACTTATTTGTCTTTGTTTTTATTTATTTTTTATTTGTTTTGTCTTAGAGATAGGGTCTCATTCTGTAGCTCAGGCTGGCCTTGAACTCACTATATAGCTGATGCTGGCCTCAAATGTGTGGCAGTCCTCCTGCCTCAGCTTCCCAAGTGCTAGGATTACATGTGTGTGCCACCACATCCAGCTAAGTTGAATTTATCATGTGAAAATATCTAACATTAACTTTGTCATTTGAGCCATTGTATTTCTTTTTATTAATATTTTTAGGGTTTCACTATATAGTTCAGGGTGGCCTCAAACTCACTCCAATCCTCTTGCCTCAGCCTCCTTCTCAATGCTGGGATTATAGATGTACACCACCATGCCCAGCTATCAGTTGAGCCATTTCAAAGTGTACAATTCTGTGGTGTTTATCACCTTTGAAATGTTGTGCAGCCATCACCATTATCTATTTCTTTAATCCTAACAGAAACTCTGTAATTCCTAAACAAGCGCTCCCCATTTCTTCCCCTCCTAGTCCCTTCTTCTCTAAGTCTGCCTCTTTTCTGGAGAGCTCATATATGTGGAGTGTACAGTGCTGTATTTTAGTATCTGGCTTATTTCACTTAGCATTTTTCCCCCCAGATTTTGCTATGTAGTTTAGGCTGACCTTGAAATCTTGGTAATCTTCCTGCCTCAGCCTCCCAAGCGCTGGGATCACAGGCGTGTGCCACTACTCCCAGCATTTAGCATGTTTTCAAGTTTCATACATGTTGTAGCATGGACTAGAGCTTTCTTTTCATTGCTGAATATTATTCCTCTGTATGTGCACATTTAATCCATCTGTCTCCCTTACCATGTTCTAAGAGTTCTTCGTATAACTGAGATACAGGTTCTTAAAAGTATCTTTTGAAGCACACATTTTATATCTGTCTTTCTCTTCTTTCCTCTTCCTGGTGACTGCACTCAGGGCCTTCACACTTAGCTCCATCTCCACTCTTTTTCAATTTTTTGAGATCAGCAGAAGCCATTCTAAGTTAATTTGGTTTTTTGTTTATTTGTTTTGTTTTGTTTGTGGTACCAGGGATTGAACTGGGACCTTGCACTTGCTAGGCAGGTGCAGCGCAACCGAGCTACATCCCTGGCCCTCTGGCACCATTGGTTGAGGAGACTATCAGTGTCCCACTGAATTATCAGCCTTTAAGACAATCATGTGTCCTGAGTGTGTAGATCTCTTTGGGAACCCTCTAGTCCGTTCCAGATATCTTATGGCTTTTTTTAGACCATGGTATTGCTGTTTTAGTTGCTGTACCTTTATAATAACTCTTAAGTCTTCAAATCTTGGAGATATAAATTCTCCAAATTTAGTCTCCTTTTTCAAAATTGTTTTGGCTAACATGGGTCTTTTGCATTTCCATGTAAATTGAAATTCAGCTGTCAATTTCTATAACAAAACTTTGGGATAGGCTATTATTGGCTGAGATTGTTTTATTCTCTATGTGGATTTAGGGAAAATTGACGTTAGTGATATTGAATCTTCTGACCCACAAATATGGTGTTATCCTTCCATTTACTTAAGTCTTCCTTACTTTTCCTTGGCAATACTTTATAATTCTTCTTGTATTTTGTTTTGTTTTGTTTTTGGTACCAGGGATTGAACTCGGGACCTTGTGCTGGCAAGGCAGGCGGCGGAACCACTGAGCTAAATCCCTGGCCCTCTTGCTTGTATTTTGTTAAATTTATTTTTTCCCCACTGCTGAGGGTTGAACCTAGGGTCTTCACACTGAGCTACACTCCTGGACCGTTTTATTTTTATTTTGAGACTGCCTCCTCCTGCCTCGGCTCCTGGAGTAGCTGGAACTGCAGGCTTTGCAGTTGGATGCTGCTGGAACTCTTTTCTAGCTTGCTGCAAATTTTCTACATGGATGGTGTGAATCGCAATCATGGCAATGTGATTTCTTCCTTTTCCGTCTAGTTGGCATTTGCTTCTTTTATTTTTCTTATTGTCCTGAATGGACTTCCTCCACAATTTTGGGTAGAAATGCTCAGAATGGGTATTGTGATGACACCTTTAAAAATGTGTTTTTTTTTCGTTACCGAATAGAAATAATCCCTGGTTGTAACAGAGGCAGAAGCAAACTATGATGAGGAATGGAATGTGTGTGTGTGAGTAGGGTTGGAAGCAAATGGAGCTGTTAAACCCTAGACATTGGGGAAGATTTATTTTTGTGTCTTGAGACAGGGCCTCCCTATATAGTTCAGGCTGGCCTTGAACTCACTGCAGAGCCCAGGCTGGTGATCCCTCTGCCTCGGCCTCCTGAGTGCTGGGATTACAGATGTTCACCACCTTGCCCAGCTACTGCGGCTCTCTGGGGGGACCCCGTCCCGCGGGGAATAGGAGATGAGAGCCGCCTCTTATTCGTGGGTCATCAGAGGCCGATCCGATCTTGAATGTCTGTGGAGGAAATCTTTAAGAAGTTAGAGTACACGGCCCAAGTCTGGTTTCTGATCAAAGGCGCTTTATTGGCTCAGCAAAACGATTATATACTGTTATCCCAGGGGGAAGGTTCAGCAAGCTTATTGGACAGTTCAAACAAATCAATCACATGAGTCACTCAAGCATTTAACCATACAGCAATCAGTATTTTACCAAATGTGGGGAGGGGTAAGTGGGAAGGCGTACATCAACAATTAACCCTATGCAATCTTTAACTTCACAATCCCTAGGGGCAAGTAGGACGGGGGAAATACCACCTGCTTCCTGCTCCAGATCCCGTGACCCTGTGGTTAGCACAAAGGGCTATTCTTTCTGTAAGATTTCCTGTTTGCCCAGGGGCTAGACCTGCCAAAAGTCACGTATGTAGTCTAGTGGGATTTTTCCACCGAGGCAAAGGCTAAGGTTGAGGGCAGCCATCTTATGCAGGCCCAAGCAGTCTCTCACAGTTCCCCCTTCTCTGTATAAAATTAAGCAAGATTAGGGTGGAGGGCTCATGTCTTAGGCTACTTGATGTGCCTCCGGACCTGGACGTGATGCATAGGTGTTCCAGCGAGTCACGCTGCCCCCAGGTACCGGCATCAAGCTAATCCCGTCGGAGACACCTCCACAGCCTGGAGCAGAGCGAACGACGGCGCTCAGCCATCTGTTCAAATTCTACAAAGCTTAGGGGTTGGAACCCATGGTCACCAGCGGGCTGGCTATTTTCAGGGTCCTGAGAGGAGAGCTGCTGGTAGTGCACTTGTATGGAGTGTTTGGTGGCCTCATCAACCTGGTTCTTAACAAAACTCGTGAGGCGGCGGAATGCCCATGGGCCAAAGGAAATCAACAGCATAAAGCCAATAAAGGGTCCTAAAAGGCTGGGTAACAGGGTGGACAGCCAGGGGGAGGTAGAAAACCAATTTTGATACCAAGATTCGTCCTTTTCCCGTTGCCTCTGCCTTTGTTCGAGGCTTTCCTCAACCCTTCTAATGCTATCATCCACTAGGCCCAGTTTATCTTTAAAAAAGCAACATTCTTAAAGAAGGGGGTTGGGGCCAATGGCAATGGGTTTGAACTGAGGTGGTTCTTTCAAAAGCCTGATGGAAAAGGTGAGACCCGGATCACGGCCGCTGATGTAAAGGCGAAGGCCCCACTCAACCTGACGAGTCCAGTGGTATTGTTTGCCGGGCGTGGTGGTGCACGCCCATAATCCCATAAAACTAGTTTGGATTACAGTGAGCTCCAGGTCGACACCCATAATCCCATAAACCCAGCCTGGATTACACAGTGAGCTTAGCCTGGATTACACAGAGAGCTCCAGGTCAATCTCATCTGCATAGCTGAGACCCTCATCTCAGAAAAGCCAAATAGAGTCATAGATTGTGTCAATGCCTCAATGGTAGAAGTTACTTTTCCAATGTCAAATGCCAGCGGGCTCCCACAATTCCCCCTTTTTTATTATATTTAGAGCAGGGAGCTTCCCAGCTCAGCAGAAAGACTGTGCCTGTCTTAGGTGAGAAATGTCCAGAGAAATCCCTTACCCGTCATCAAGCCATGAGAAGTTCAATACTCATGCTCTGTCTTAGGTTGGATATTTCTCCACAATTCTCTTACCCGTCTTTGACTACCAGCCTCTGCAGGGGTTATACCATGGGTTGTGAAGGCTTGCCATGTAGCTTTTTCTACCTCTATCAATATTTATAATCCTTGTTCCTCATACCAGGCCTCACTAATTTTTACAGGCATCATTACAAAGAGAGGTTGCCTCAAACCCATCACAGAATGAAAGGAAGTCACCATTTCTGAGAATATACAATTGGTCAATTGACAATCAATATTATCGGTTTCATAAACAATCTCTATGAGCATTAACACAAGACATTATATTAGAGGCCTCTATGCCAACAATATTGAAACTAAGGCTAGTAACTTTGACATCTGACCATAAATGTATTTTTCCCAATGCAGCAGGTTTCCAAATGTTGGTTTGAGGAAAACCTGAATCTGTTTACCAAAGTCCTGCAGATAAGCTTAAGTTTGTGGAATTTAGAAGTGACCAGTCCAAAAACTTTTGAGATGTCTCATTAAATCACCAGTCCCATTAAATCCTCATTCTGGATAAAGAAGGAAAACCTTTTTGCTTTTTGGAATGAAATTTCCACTTGTGCACTGAGACACATCCTGGAGTTTTCTCTGCTGCTTCAGTGTTGGGGTCCCAATCCAGTCTCCTCAGTGGAAACCCAGCTTCAAGCTGCTCAAGGATAGTGATAGGTCTATAAACATATCTGTAACCATAATTAGGTGGAATAGAAGAAAAGGGAGAACACCTAGACCAAAAGGTTATTGTCATAAACAATATGTTGGAAAACCTGCATGGTCAAACAATATGAATACATTTTGTATACCAGAAAAGTAGCAATAATAATACTTATATGAAATCTTATGTACTGTAATGTAGCTTTGTATTAACAGGATCTCCCCCCCCCTTTTTTTTAACATATTTAACAAGACATATCTTTTTTATAGGGCTATGAAAATTATTTTGGTGGCTCCCATTAGTGAACAAAGATCAGAATAAATTTTCTGAGCAGCTGCTTCTTTATTTACCAACAGGAGCATATCCAAACTTAAAGGTTATATTTAATTATCTTTTAAGTTTTTTATTTGATCCTATAAAGCCAGGTTGTAGAAATCAACAATCTATTTGTATTTGACGTCATTCTGATCAAGAACATACAAACATCTTTGAACATTTAAGACAGACAAACATATAAGACAATTTTAATGAGTGCACTCAGATGGTTTTGGCCAAATGAATTATAAAATCTTTTTGTTATGACTAGTCAAAATTTTTGCAGATCAAAATTAACAGAGATCTCTTGTAGAATTAGGGTTAAAGGAACGAATACTCTTCTTGACTATAAATGTAAACCTTTTATAACAAACTTGAAACCAACAAGCAAACATTTTATAAATCATTTCCATAAACATTCTCTACATTCTTAGGTAAAGACAAGAGGAACATACAAAAACCTTTCATGTTAAAAGTACAACTCTTACTTATAGCTTTTCTAATATTTTTCTGTCTCATTTACTATTAAACAAACTTTAGCTACGAAATATTGACATAAGGTAGGGCTATTGGCCATGCCCTGAGGTAATACTTTCCACAGCGGGAGGCAAAATGGCCGGGCTGGCCGCATTGAAAGCATGTTTTACCCCTGTTTTGGCCTTGGAAGGCGACAAGGGCCTTAGTGATCTTGTGCATAAAAGGATCCGCCTCTCGGCAGAGATTAATCATGTCGTGCAGAGTTTTGGCTTTGGAGTTGTGTTTTAGAATAGCTCTGCAGGTCTCATTAGCATTTTCAAAGGCTAATTGTCTAATGAGGGCGTTGTCTGCCACAGTGGCGGCATCACCGAGGGCACGCTCAGCCTCGGGGCCCTGGATGATCTTTGAGAGAGGTGCTGCCGTGCTGATCAAAGTAGTCAGCGAGCTCGCGACCAATCTGGTCCCATGTAGAAGGCACAATTTTGGGGCAGGTGATAACGAACCAGGGACATACTTCGTGTACAAACAGCAGAAATTGCAAGAGATCTTTCTGTCTAACTTCAATATTACGGTTTTTCAACTGCTTTTTTATATCAGAGATAAATTTAGCTCCTTCACTAACTGCGTTCCCCCTATTCTCGGGGAACTTTGGGACGGCGGCTGTGCCTTAGCTAAGATTTGACTAACCCCAACCCTGCACCACCCGGATGGGGCTTACCTGGTGTCTGACGGGCGGGCTCCGGACTCGTCGTCTCTCTGCCGTCCGATCGGGAGTCGGTAACCTCTGTAAACCACGTTGGGCGCCAGTTGCGGCTCTCTGGGGGGACCCCGTCCCGCGGGGAATAGGAGGTGAGAGCCGCCTCTTATTCGTGGGTCATCAGAGGCCGATCCGATCTTGAATGTCTGTGGAGGAAATCTTTAAGAAGTTAGAGTACACGGCCCAAGTCTGGTTTCTGATCAAAGGCGCTTTATTGGCTCAGCAAAACGATTATATACTGTTATCCCAGGGGGAAGGTTCAGCAAGCTTATTGGACAGTTCAAACAAATCAATCACATGAGTCACTCAAGCATTTAACCATACAGCAATCAGTATTTTACCAAATGTGGGGAGGGGTAAGTGGGAAGGCGTACATCAACAATTAACCCTATGCAATCTTTAACTTCACAATCCCTAGGGGCAAGTAGGACGGGGGAAATACCACCTGCTTCCTGCTCCAGATCCCGTGACCCTGTGGTTAGCACAAAGGGCTATTCTTTCTGTAAGATTTCCTGTTTGCCCAGGGGCTAGACCTGCCAAGGTCACGTATGTAGTCTAGTGGGATTTTTCCACCGAGGCAAAGGCTAAGGTTGAGGGCAGCCATCTTATGCAGGCCCAAGCAGTCTCTCACAAGCTACTATAAGGGAGGACTGATAAAGGACAGGGTTCCTCAGCTCTCCTCAGTTTCTGTTTCCCTCTCCATACTCTGCAGGCTGCTCTCTTGCTGCAGGATGCTGTTCTCTCCCTGCCTGCTGGGCTGCTCCCGGACCTGCTCCCGCGTGCTGGGGCTGAGCCTGGGGACTGCCGCACTGTTTGCCGCTGGTGCCAACACAGCGCTCCTCTTCCCGAACTGGGACGCCACCTACCTGCTACGGGGCCTCATAGGCCGGCACGCCCTGCTGGGGTCTGGGCTTTGGGCAGGGGGCCTCATGGTGAGATCTGGCTTGGGGTACAGCTGGGGGGGTATGTGGGGGGAGCAGGACTTCGATGGCTGCAACCTTCCAGTCTTGGGTCTCGAATGCCCACTCCCAGGGTTTGAGAAACTGTCAGGGAACCAGGAAGGCTGGGGTGAACCTGATACCCAAAGCTCGGGTCACACTGGTCACCTGAGAAGTCCTGGGAGTCAAAGCCAATAGGACAGAGCTGGTATGGCGATGCACACCTGTAATCCCAGCACTTGGGAGGCTGGGGCAGGAAGGTCTCTGTGAGCTGGAGGTCAGTATGGGATACACAGTGAGTTCAAGGCCAGCCTGGACTAATAGCAAGACCCCGTCTCACAAAACAAAAACAACAAAAGAGGCCAATAAAACAAATTCTTTTTTAAAAAATTAAACAATTCTTGTGAGGTGGCTGCTATTCCAACAGCCATATGCACCAGGGCACAGGCAGAAGTGGAAATGACCAGTCTCTCCCTGACACTCTGCAGGTGCTCACGGCTGCCACCCTTATGTCCATGACGGCCTGGAGAGGTTGCTGCTTTGAGAAGAGCACACCGTGTTGCAGTGTGAGCCACCATCCAGCATCTCCTCGTTGGCTTCTTCGTTACAGTTCTGAGGCTCCAAGTCAAGTCCTAAGCCTGGCCCCGAATGCCACCAAGCTCGGGGGCGAGCTGCCCACTTCCCAGCCCCATGCTCATCTGCCGCGTGGGGACGGCCCCTCGAGGGAGGAAGGGCACAAGGGCCACCAGGGTCATAGAAATGGGAGAGATGGTTGTCTTCCTTAGTTCACTGGACAATACAGATAGTTCTGGACATGGTAACCAGGGGTCAGTGGAAGGAGGGTTTCCGGCTACTGTAATCAGCATTTTCCTAGAAGGGTGGGGCTGTGGCTCAGAGGTGGACAGCCCAGCATGCCCAAGGTCCGTATAGTGAGAGATAATATGTGGCGATGGGTATGTGTTTATATTTGCATGGATCTATACATTATTTTCTGTTGTTTCTTGGGGAGTTGGGATAGTCTCACTATGTAGCCCAAGCTGGCCTTATATTCACTGAGATCCTCCTGTTTCAGCCTTCTGGGTGCTGGGATTATGCATGTGCACCAACCTGCTAAGCAATTCTGAATATTTTAACTTGGGGTCAAAACTTACTAAGCACCTTTCTTTGACCCCTAGCTTGACACCAGTGGGAAAATGACTGTGGAGAAAAACTCTGTAGGTCTTAGTCACACATTAGAGATAGGAATTCTTTTCTGAGAAAGAAACTCTCTGTGACCTATGGGGAAGGGAGATAAAGTCACAGGAGGACCAGAGGGATCGTCCTGGGAAGCTGCACAGCGGAATGGGGCTGCTTCTGGACTTGCCTGCAAGCTTGTTCTTGCTTGCTGTCTCCCTCCTTCCATTCTTTCCTCTTAAGCTTGATTTGAGAAAGAGGCATCAAGGAGGGCCAGCCTGTCCTTAGAGGAGTCAGAATTGGGCATGCGAAGCCAATCTGTCCCCCTTTCTCCAAACCTAAGTGATACAATCTGAGTGCAAAGGTGTCTGGTGCTAAATTGCTGAGGGCCCGAAGAGTCTGCTGAGGCAGGGAGATGCAGGCCCAAGCACCTGCGTTTCTCTCTTGGACCCCTCTTCTTCCCTTGGCCCTTCTCAGCTCTACCCGGACCCCCAGCCACCCCACTCGAGTCACACTGTAAAGGAAGTGTCAGAGAGCAAAGTGTCTCCCATGAGGGAGGGGACAGCCTGGGTACAGGGGAGGGGGATGCCGAGGCCACACTTGGGTGGCTGTTTCCTGTTCCCTTCCTCTGCAGATCCTCACTGCTCTCCTTGCTGGTGGCTTGGCTTTGCTCGGAGCCCTAATCTGCTTCGTCCATTCCGGAGTAGCCCTGAGAGATGGCCCGCTGTGCATGTTCAACGTCTTGTCCTTCAATCAGACACAGGCATGGAAATATGGCTACCCATTCAAAGACCTGCGGCACACGTACGAACTGGGGATTTGGATTTGTCTTTTCAGAGGTACAGCGGGAGAGGCAGAGCCTCCTGCCTCAACCTCCCACGAGCTGGGATGACCGGTGTGCACTGCCGCGCCTAGCTCTGGGTCTTCTCTTGGGGTTGCTTGTCTGGCTTTCCTTGCTTACCCGCTACCCTGGCTTGATTTTTTTGGGACAGGAATTATCTATATGACCAGTCGCTCTGGAGCTCTGTCTGCCTAGAGCCCCCCACAGCTGTCGTCTGGCATGTGTCCTTCTTCTCTGTTCTCCTGTGTGTCAGTGCCCTCCAGCTTCTCCTGATAGCCGTCCATTTCATCAACAGCTTCCTCAGCCTCTTCTGCAGCTTCTGTGAGGAGTGACAGGTAATGTGCCTAGGTGCCTGGAAGCCTCTTTTTTTTTTTTGGTACCAGGGATTGAACTCCGGACCTTGCGCTTTCGAGGCAGGCAGCAGAACCACTGTGCTAAATCCCTGGCCCTGGAAGCCTTTCATACAGCAGAGGCTATGAAAGACAAACAAGTGTCCCTTCGTGGTATTCTTATAGCAGTGATACCAACAGTCCTTGCATGTAGGCTGAATGATACATTGCGTTTAAAGTCACACAGTAAACTAGGCATGATGGTACGCGCCTGTAATCCCAGCACTTGGAGGCTGAGGCAGGAGGATCGATGTGAGTTCACAAACAGCCTGGGCTACATAGTGAGTTCCAGGTCAGTCTCACTACATAGTGAGACCCTGTCTCAGAAAACCAAAAAAAAAAAAA